AAAATGAGATAATTGTGTTTTTTGTGTAAAACGTTTTGGGCATAAAGCTTTATGAAAATTTAAAACACACATAAACTACCATGTCCATGAGTAATTGTAAGGGGTCCAAATTGGTTTTGATAGGTTCACTCAACGCACGTGTAGTACAAGAGTATTGAATTAAAAATTATTGACCTAAAAATGTGTAAAAGGTAAACATAATTTTATTTTAATTTTTAAAAATTTTTAGAATTGCATTGTTAATTTTAAAATAATGTTATAGTGTCATACATGAACATAATATTTTTTGACAGCATTACTTTTTTCAAAGTTTACGAAATTGATTTTAGTTATTATGCCGAATTTTACTTTGTATAACAGTAATTATGACAATGAGCGCCTAGAAGAGCCGCTTAGGTAAAAATCGAGTGTCGTCTAACTTGATATATAAAATATTGATTCTAAGTGACAACTTTAAACACATTGAATACTTACACAAAAGCTGGTATAAAATATAAATACACAATAAGTTATATAAAGAGTAAGAGATTATATCTGCTAATTACCTAAATACACTTAATTGATAACACAATTTTTAATAATCAACATGCTAATACTAATGATCACACAAAAACTCTTGCTATAAAATAAACAAATTGGCATGTATGTTTATAGGCAAACGCAATGTTTAAAATACCGTACAAGCCGATATTACTGCAATATCAGATATCGGTGGTCCAGCCGGTACGATAACCCTCTAAAATTCATTTTGGACAAAATATCAGTTTATACCAGTTTCATACAAAAAATTATCGGCCAAAATACATGATATACTAGATTTAAAATAAATATATGGATTTTTTTATATTTTTATTGATTTATTATAAAGTTCTACACTTAGTTTTAATATGTATACATTGTTATTAGATTTTAATCAATTTTAATATTTATTAATTTGGTTTTATATGTTATTTATATTATAATAATAAATTAAATTAGTATTTATTAAAATCAATAAAATAGATGATAAAAACGATTGAACCGCATACCATTGATTTGTTCAGCATAATTATCGGTATGATATTTAAAGGATTGGGCATACGAAACTAATTCATATATAACCAACTCAAAGAAAGTAAAAAATATGTGCACCACAAGATTATATGAGCATATTATATCATTAACCAATATCTATACACTACAAGAATAATCATTTTTTGTGGCGGAAATTTTTGTCGCTATATATTCAAATGTCGTCACAAAAAATACCGTCGCTAATAATGTCGCTATATGTTCGGATATTGTCACAATAATCATTTTATAGTCATGACATTAATGTCGTCACTAAAATTAGTGTCGCTAATAATGATTATTCTTGTAGTGATAATATAAGAAAATATTTCCAACATATGACTATCACTACAAGAAATAACACATGTAGTGACAAAAAAATTAGTGACAACATAAATATTGTCACTTAAATATTGGGTGTGTAAAAATCTAAGAAACGAGCTGCACATTCAAGTAGAAAACTGGAGTTGCGTGTTCGGGGTTACTGTGTGGAAGCTATGGTAAGATAGGAATGCTTTCGTCTTTGATAATCACAACCTTAACGTACAAAGGAGAGTGGCGGAAATTGGTAGCCTAGTCGAGGGTATTAATTATGCAATTCTCACTTCCAAAAAGTTTGGAGAATCGAACATGCACAGGGAACAGAGGTGGCTGGCTTGGTCCAAGCCGCCAGCTGGTTTCGTAAAGGTTAACTCTGACGGCGCCTTTAGCCGCCAAACGGGAATGGCATGGGCCGGAGGCTTAGTGCGTGATGAATTGAGCTGGTGGAGTTCCGGTTTTACGATGAATATTGGGTTTTGCTCAATCATGGGTGCAGAATTATGGGGCCTATTGCAGGGTTTAAAATTGGCATGGGATAAGGGGCCTCGCATGGTTATTGCGGAAGTTGATAATAACAACGTGGTGAAAGTGGTACTACAGGAAGCAGCTCCGTCCGAGGTTAACAACAGTATCATTCTAGGTATTCGAGACTTATTGGTTGGGAATGGAAAGTGGAGGTTCGCCACATCCATCGAGAAGAGAACTTCACAGTTGACTATCTCGCGTTGATGGCCTCGACAATGCCAAGTGGGTTTCACGTTCTTGACGACCGACCCACGGGGATAAAACCGTGGTTAGAACATGATAACTTAGGGGTTTCTTACCCTCGCAACATTGTCGTCTAAGGCGTTAGCCTCCTTTATTGCACAAAAAAAAATGTATATTGTGACGGTTTTATCCGATGTCACTATGATTTGAAAGAGATGAATATTGGTGATAATTTTGATTATTGTCACTGCATTTTGTCACTCAGAAATTGGCGCCATTCTATTTGTGTTGGCGNTTTGTCACAATTGTTCTTGAAAATAGTGACGATAATTAATATCATGACTAAATTTAAATAAATAATGTGACATGTACTTTTATGTCATTATAATATGAAGTGTTAAGATACGACTAAATTTCCCACGTTCCCTTGCCTAATGAGCGCAAGAAAATCGTCATCATGGACTTCCAGTATGAGTAATTTGATCCGTCGAGACGGGGGGCGTGAGATTGATAATACGTCGTGGTTCATGGCTCCAAATCCAACAAACTTCGGATCTTTATCCTGTGATTAGAACATGAACACTGCTCTGGTGCCAAATGAAACGAGGGTGGGGGAGTATAGAGCGCGCAAACTGTGTTAGAGCACAGAAATTATGTATTTACTAAATTGTGTTGCAACACATAAAAATAAATTGCGGAAGCACGAATATTAAAACAAATATGTCTTCGGGGAGCATCCGACTACTCCTCAAAGCTCTTTTATTGACAAATCGGTTTGCGCACATAAAGTACAGTTGGACTTACTCGACTCAGACTCCCTCCTAGCCTAGCATCCACTATACCTGATCCTATCAATTACTTCCCTGGCCACAAACACGTGGACTTCAAAGATAGTTATGGATCCCTCCTAGCTATCAAAGTACTTAATCCCGAAGCACTCAAAAGTGTTTGTAAAAATATAAATAAACAAAACAAAATCAGTTCTTCAGCAGTGTAAGAATGTTGAAGTTCTGAGACGAACAAAATAAAAAGAATAAAAAACTCTCAAACACTCAATTGAATCTGATGAATGATAAACTCGATTATTGCAGCAGCTCCCTTTTGATTGTTTGGGTATGCTTATATACAATCTCCTTAAGGTAAGGAGTATTCACAAGTTCCTCCTTTTCCTTTTAGGAGTCAATTTCCTTCTCAATTGATTCCTTTCAGACACAATCTTTCATTTAGAGTAAGTTTCTTTGAAGTATAATTCGTGTATGTGATTTGAAGATCTTCATAATTGAGTTTCCAATGGAGATCTTGTGTTTCCAGACTCATGTAAGAACACGACTTTCTAAAATAGCCGATATTCTAAAACTCAAAGATCTTGCAGTAAATCTTTCCAAATCTTCCTTATATCTTATTTAGAACGTCCAAAATTCTTTATGTATGAATAACTCCTCATTTCATAGTCTTTGTCACTTATTCTTTGTCTTGCCTAACAAAAAAATCTTCTAAAAAACACTTAGGTTTGTCGGACGATGTCAAACCAATATTCTTACACATTCTCCAATAATCAGCAAAGCACTAGGGAGGATTCTGGACATACGAAGCTAAAGCCATATGTGTTCTCAAATCAATATATTCTTATAGAGAATTATCTAATGTATATGATAATCATACCAAGATTAGTTACTTATTAATAGCAATGAGATATTTATTCAGTAGGTCGCTTCCTATAAGTCAAGAGGTCGCGAGACACATATCGCAACCTTCTATAAGTGACTCGAGGCCGCATTCATCACCCTCGAGCTAAATAACTAGAGATCCTACGTGCTGACCTCGAGCTAAGTGAATTAAGCTATAAACTGTTAATTCGACCTCGAGCTAAGTGAATCGAGCTATAAATGTTCATCAAGTTGTTATATGATGACACTGTCACATAACAACCTCTAAGTGCATGAACTCGTAGAGGCGTAACAAATTGGCGAAGGTTAAATATCAAATTGTTTGTGAACAATAAGAAAAAATAGTATTTAATCCTGTGCACATTTACAAATATATAAATTATTATAATTTATAAGTCACGGGTATGTGTATAATTGTAATATTATGAGTGAAATAATAGTATCACATTTTTTTTTAATAAAAATCATTAATAAAAATGAACACCATAAAGTATTCAAATTCATCACTATATTTATTGTATAAATAAAATAGATAATTATTTTTCATTAACTTCAACTAATATTGTGTACAATCTTGCATGAAAAATTTGAATCTAAACTGGTGTAAAGATCACTATTACAAAAGATGACTTTTCATCATATATTTTGAGTTGTATCTATAACATATCAATTTTTTAAAATTTTTTTTGCATATGAATAGTCAACATACAAATTAAAAATATATTTTTAACCACATGCAACCGTTACAAACCCAAAATATTGTAAAAAATAGGTGGATGATTGTATGGAATAAATTAAAAGAAAAAAAATATGTTGTAACGGTTTTTGGATGGAGGTCATAAAAGTTTTATTAGATAAACCCCAATTTTTATTAAATGCTACTGGAATAAAATTAAATAAAATTTGCTAGCAATTATATAGACATAGGATGCGTTAAAAAGGATCTTGGGCCGTCTCATCAACAAATTTTGTTTAATGCTCAGGGGCATTATAGCCCATCATTTTCACAGTATGGATGAATATTTCTCGGTCCATGACCCACATGTGTTTGGATCATGGGCTTATAGTTCTATTTGTGCCCAATTCATAACATTTGCCGCCACCAGTTTTTCAGCGCGCCAAAAAATGGCTTAAAATCAAAAATAAAAAATTCAAAACCTCTTAAGCATTGCGCTCCTTGCCAGCCTGGCAATCCGTACTTTCGACTGTCAGCCAATCAGATTCGACTAACGCAATCCCTATATAAGGCACCCTCCTCACCGTAACACGCACTCGTCACCACCAAAAAACGCTCAGCTTCAATTTCCTTCAAAAGACCTAGGGTTTCAGAACGCAGCCGGAAAATGAGCTCCAACGCGTCAACGAAAGGCGGCAGAGGCAAGCCCAAATCTTCTAAATCCGTTTCCCGATCGTCCAAGGCCGGTTTGCAGTTTCCGGTCGGGAGAATCGCACGTTTTCTGAAGACCGGAAAGTACGCCGAGCGCGTCGGCGCCGGCGCTCCGGTTTACCTCTCCGCTGTTCTCGAATACTTGGCCGCTGAGGTGTGTTTTCAGATCTAGCCCGTTGATGTCGTATTGTTCTGTTTTGCCTTT